TGAAAGGCTTCTGGGCAGGTAAACCAACCACCTTAGCCAATACTTAACCCTACTTGTGATACATCCACAGGGACAACCTGTATCGCATATAGAAGTCTTAGAAAGGTCACACTTCTTTTAAGGTCTCTATTATTGATTGACGCTTGGATGCCACTCAACCTCACGGGTCGATATTACACTTGCTATATCCCACCACACATGCAGTATGCAAGGATTGATTATTTTTTTCATATCACAAAGGGATCTCTCCTTCATTACTGATGCAAAGATGGGGATACAATCCTTTTCAGACCACGCCCCAATCTCACTTAATATGACGCTCATAGACCAGGCAGACAAAACGTATAACTGGAAACTCAATCCGACTTTATTAAATGATGTAGAAATCCTGAATGACATTACCGATGTCATTAAACAGTATTTTGATATCAATAAGGTTGCGGACATCCCTCAACTTAGTGTGTGGGAGGCACACAAATGTGTTGTTCGTGAAGAGTTTATTAAGTGGGGTGCCAGACGGAAAAGAGAACAAAATAAGGAAATTGCTGAAATTTCTAAAGTTATAGCGAAATTAGAATCCCAACATGAAATATCCCTCACCGCATCTTTGGGGGATAGCCTGCAGAAGGCTTGGCTGGTACTCCAATCCATCCTTGACACCAACTATAAGCGTTCCTTATTCTTTAAAAAACAAATTTATTATAAGGGTGCGTTTCTTGGCCAAAGCTTTACAGGAGGCTAAACTAAATGAAAATATTCATGGGATCAGAAACTCAAAAAATACTTTAGAACATGATAGCAAAGCAATTGCTTCCTTATTCCATCACTATTACACTACTCTATACAATCTTCCTCCCATCCACACTCCTAAAGACCTTAAGGGAGAGAAAATTGATTTCCTTAAAAAAAGTGAATTAGCTTCCCTAAAATGTTCGGACGCCAAAGTACTAGAACGCCCGAAAAAAGAAACAGAATTGACTAACGCTATCAAAAACTTAAAACCGGGAAAAAGCCCAGGCCCAGTCAGTCTTACGTCACAATATTATAAGGCCTTTAGCACCTTAATTACATCGCCTTTACTTCAGACATTTAACTCTCTGAGTGCACCACAACCGATATCTTCTTCTTTTTCCCTCGTGCATATTTCTGTCATTCCCAAAAAAGACAAGCATCCCGCTGAATGTACAAGTTACAGACCAATTTCCCTCTTCAACACCCGACATAAATTGCTTGCAAAAATATTAGCCAATCAGCTCATACCCTTACTGTCTGCTATCATAGGACCAGAACAAGTCAGCTTTATGCTGGGCAGGGAGGCATGTGATAACATTGTCAAAGCCCTTAATTTAATCCATAGAGCATGTTTGGAGGATATTGAAGGCTTTCTCTCTACTGATGCGGTTGTGCACCACAACCGATATCTTCTTCTTTTTCCCTTGTGCATATTTATGTCATTCCCAAAAAAGACAAGCATCCCGCTGAATGTACAAGTTACAGACCAATTTCCCTCTTCAACACCGACATAAATTGCTTGCAAAAATATTAGCCAATCAGCTCATACCCTTACTGTCTGCTATCATAGGACCAGAACAAGTCAGCTTTATGCTGGGCAGGGAGGCATGTGATAACATTGTCAAAGCCCTTAATTTAATCCATAGAGCATGTTTGGAGGATATTGAAGGCCTTCTCTCTACTGATGCGGAGAAGGCCTTCGATCACGTATCATGGGACTTCCTGTTTGCCACTTGTGCACATATTGGTGTGGAACCTAACATGATGAGCTGGATCACTACATTTTATCAAAACCCCATGGCTAGGATCAAAGTTAATGGAACTCTGTCTGCAACAGTAACTATTAAAAACGGAACAAGACAGGGCTGCCCCGGGTCTCCTCTTTTGTTTATTCCCATGCTTCAACCCTTCACAAGGCTCATTCAGCAAAATGAGGCCATATATGGCTTCCAAATCAATAATGAGATATTCAGACACCGTGGCCGTTTTCTTATCTCAGCCTCATATTTCTATAGCTAATCTCCTAAGCTTATTCAACCACTATCTCTTTCTTTCTAATTTGAAAATAAATTACACCAAATCAGAGGCCTTAAACCTATGCGTTTGTCCTTCTTCTTTAGCTCTCATCAAGAGAAATTGCTCTTTTAGGTGGGTTCCCACTGTCCTTAAATATTTAGGTATTTGGCTCACTCCAAGTTTGGAAGACCTATACGCACAAAAACCTTGTCCCCTTACTATGTACTATTCTAAGGGATGTCAAATCTTGGCATGCGAAACCTTCTCTTGGTTTGGTAGGGTGGCTATCATTAAAATAAATATATCACCCCGGGTGCTATATAGCATGAACACCCTCCCGATCAGAATTCCGTCAACGTTTTTTCAAGAAATTACAACAGACTCAAAAAGCCTTTGTCTGGGTTAATAATAAACCACGCATTCACTTTCAATTAATCACGCATACCAAAGATTCTGGAGGTATGGGCTTACCAGATTAAAAAAAAAATATTTCTGTGCCACTCACATTACCATCCACTGCATGGTTCAGGTATACCCCTGTTAGCAACTCATTGTCTCAGACATGGGGGCATGAGGTCCAAAGGAGAGCTTCAGAAGTTGTGCGGAGATGTCTCTATCCCATATTGGACTTATTTTCAAATGCATAATTATTTAACTAGCCACAAACGGAGGGAAGCATTTTCCAGGCCCTTATCAGCTTTAGAAACACTTTGCCTTAAAGGGAATCCTGTAGACAAGACTACCTCTTTGGCCTACTCATGGCTCCAACGTGAATACAATAGTCCCCCTGACAACTTTGGTTGGGTTGGGAATCAGCTCTTCAGACAGAATTTTCTGACGAATAATGGAGGAAAGCTTGTATATTTGCACACAAATGCTCTATTAGTATTATGACGCAGGAAACCTACTACAAATTATTAACTAGATGGTATGCCACACCAGATAGGCTGAGGAGGTGGTTCCCTCTGACATCAGGCTTATGCTGGTGATGTGGGCCATTGGTGGCAATGTCCACAGATTGTACCGTTCTGGGATAAAGTTTGTGATTTAATTTACACTATAACAGAGACAGCACTACTCGTGTCCCCAGAATGCTGCCTTCTCCATATAACCACTTTTTTGCTTAAATCATAGAAACTCTCCCTAGTGCGGCACCTCCTAAACGCAGCAAAGGTCCTAATCCCCAGACATTGGAAGACTACTTACACCCTCCCCCCCCCCCCCCCCCCGATTCAAGATTGGATATAAAAGAGGTTAACACTATTCAAGAATTAGAAAGGACACTAACTATGACTGATGATGATATGGTTAATATATTTCACAAATTATGGTCCAGCTGGTACATTTTCACCTTCTCAGATACGTACAAAGCGTTGATTGGTGAGTGGTAGCTTATATCTCTCCATCTATTGTTTCTGTCATGATGATGTAATATATGGCTATTTTTGTGGAGTTGGATTTATTCTTGATATTTTTTTCTTTGTGCATCTCATCCTTCTTCCTTTCAATTCTTCTCATTCAATTCAGTTTTGAAGTTTTTGCTTGTAACCCTCTGATATATGAATCATTCATGTGTTACTCTGTGCATGATTATACAATTGACAAGTGTTGAATCAAACGGCATGTATACGTGAACTGTGTATCCTTGTGTTATGTTCATCTTGCTTGCTGCTAATTTGATTCAACTCTGTTCTGCCTTTATACCAATAAACTTCAATTGTTAAAAAAAAAAAAGAAAAAAAAAATCTTCCTCATAGCTTTAGTTGCCTAACTTACCTGTAATGGATTACGACCCATGTTGAGCGAGCATCTGGATCTTGTAGAAATCTTCTGTGCAAGGATGCTTCCCTTTCTGCTGCTGAACTTCCAGTATTGAGGGAGTTAATAGCTCTAAATCTTTTGTCAAGCTGCAGTGAACAGGCCCCTAACGGGGACCTGCCCTCTACTCCTTCATTGGGAAAAGTTGTTTCATAGAGTACATGCATATAACATGTTCTTTTTAATGGGAGAAATAATCCTGTGATTCATCAGATTTATTTTCAGTCAGAGATTGGTTTAAATGCAGTGCGCACTTTGAAACAACTTTTTCCAATGGAGGAGAAATATTTAACTTGTGTTAGAGACTGTGCTCGACTGACTGGATTGGTCACTGGTCTTGGATAAGTATTCATGTGGGCAAAAAGGAAGGGATTTCTTCCGGTGGATAGGACCCAGTAATTGATGGTGACGATGGGCCCTCTTGGGGATTGGGCTGCTGTCTTTTATGTGCAAACTTAGTGTTGTTTCAGAATTCACACTTGATAAAAAGAAAGGGGTGCAAAGTGTCCAGACAAAATACAACTTCTGAAGTATGGTTTATAGACAACCATTCATGGGAATTGTTCCCATTAAATAGTATATGTTGAAACAAGATTTCAGGATCCTGCCATTATGATTTCTGAAACCTTTACTCAACATAACCATTCATGGGAATTGTTCCAATTAAATAGTATGCAGCAACAGCCCTGAAGAAGAGGGAGTCTACTCTCCTGAAATGCATTGGCTTGATGTACGTGTTACTATATTTTAATGAACGTCTATGAACCAAACTTCAGAAGCTGCATTTTTCTGGACACTCGGCGCTCCTTTCTTTTTATCCCAGTCTCAATGGAGGAGAAGGACGAAGAGGGCAAGTTACCATCCAGAGTTTATTCACTGTAGCTTCACAGAAGACACAGAGCTATCAACTCTCTTAGTGCTGGAAGTTCAGAAGCTGGAAAAGGATGGCTCAGCCTGCACAGAAGATTCCTAAACAATTCATCTGCCTGCAAAACACAGGAAATACTTCATTAACCTCCTTAGCGGTAATCCTGAGTATAGCTCGGGGTAAAATTTCTATACCAAGAGCGGTAACCCCGAGCTACACTCGGGCTTACCATGCGGCGCTGCTCTGGGGGTCCCTGCAGCACTTACCTTGTCCTTCGCTCCCACGATGTGTCCCCTGCAGCGTCCCTGGCCATCTCCTCCGGCCGATGCCGGCATCCGGCTTCTGTGTTCCGGTCCCTGTGACGTCGGGAAATTTGAATTTTTTAAAAAATGTCATTTTTGCTGTCATTGCTGTTTCAATGCATTTCACATACATTTTGTCCCTACTGCTTTGTCCTGTGCCCTGCCTGCATTTTGAATGTTCTTTCTGCCTGGAAACTTAGAAAAGTCCATGGCATCCAAAAAGCATCCCTTTACGTCAAAAGCGGTTTTAGAACAGCGATAGTAAATCAGAACCACTTGCAGAATTGAGTGATAATGATTCGTGGGGAAATTCGTCATCAGGCACTGAAAACGATTTTGCGACTTTGCTCAGCGATGTGCGAATTTGCCTCTGTATTTCAAATTTCAGTGTTTTTGGTTAGATTATATTATTGAATTAAATTTATTATTATTATATATATTATTTTTTTTATGATTATTTTTAAAATTATAATTTATGATTTCGTGTTTCAAATTTTATCATATCCGGAATGTTTAATAGACTCTTGTTCGGACAGATTTCAGTGAGTTATTCCTAAAAATTACAGCCTACAATAAAAAACTACATATTTCCATGCAAAAAAATGGTACCGCTTTCAGCACAAAAAAATTGGAAAGAATCATACCGCCAAGGAGGTTAAAAATAAACTAGGCTTCTAAAGCTATCATTTTGTTTAGTTTTTTTAGCTAAACTTCAGCTTTAATTTATTATTATTTATTTTAATACTGTAATTTTTAATGACAAATACAGGTAGCAGTGTCCATCTGCAGGTTGAAAATGTTTGTGTTATCAATAAAGTCTCCAGCCTGCATACTTGCACATTATGACACAATTACATCGCAAAGGGCTTTCCACCAGCAATGCGAGGTGTGCACTTTCCCCTCGTTTTTCCATTGTCATCCCTATCATCTTCTTCCTGTCTTTTTCCAGGTCTGGATTGTTCTTTATTATCTAGCCACAGACAACCCAAGTCCTGGCCCCCCGAACGTTCATCCAGTGTCTTACAGATACCAGTATTGTACATTGATCTGCACATAACAAGAAGAGGGAGAAAATTTACTGCAAAAGAGATATACAGGGGTTGATTTTCTAAAACTGGAGAGTGCAAAATCTGGTGCAGCTGTGCATGGCAGCCAATCAGCTTCTAACTTCAGATTGTTCAATTAAACTTTGACAAAAAAAAAAAAACTGGAAGCTGATTGGTTTCTTTGCAGAGCTGCATCAGATTTTGCATTCTTCAGTTTTAGTAAATCAACCCCACAGAGCCTCTTCTCCCATTAAAACCTAAATGCCACTATTTTTTTTCAAACTAAACTTTGTTTTAGCCGCTCTATAGTAAATCTACTGCTACAGAGCGGCAGGGCTGCTCAAAATCACATATATATACTTGATTTGCATCCCCAGGTAGGGGATGCGCGTGCATGCGCCATCCTACCTGCGCTGCCATTGGTGGCTACAGATGTAAACCACCAGGACCCGGACGGAGATTCCCCACCGACACCCGGCGATCAATAAGTAAAACTGACAGAGGAGAGACCTGTGTGCAAACAATACAGGTCTCTCTCCTGCCAGCAAGAACATGCTGCTGTCTATTTCTCTGCACAGCAGAGAAATAGACAGCATCATGTTTCCCTAGTAAAACACACACACAGTACATTATGTAAAACAGCACACAGCACATAGTTAACCCTTTGATCGCCCCAGATGTTAACCCCTTCCTGCCCATTAGTACAGTGTCAGTGCTTTTTATTAGCACTGACCACTGTGTCATGTCATTGGGATGTCAGTGGCAGTTAGTCAGTTTCCACCCAATATCAGAATGCCCACCACAGTCCAGCAGTCCTACTATAAGTCACTGATCGCCGCAATTACTAGCATAAAAAATAAAATTCCAGTATATATACCGCCATTTGTAGACGCTAAAACTTTCACATAAACCAATTAATTTATATGTATTGGTATTTTTTTTAGCAAAGACATGTAGCAGAATACATTTTGCCCTAAATTTATGATGAAATTTGATTTTTAAAATTTTTTTACTGGATATGTTTTATCGCAAAAAATCAAAAAAAATTTTTTCAAAAATTGTCGGTCTTTTTTTGTTTATAGCGTAAAAACTAAAAAACGTACAGGTGATCAAATACCAGCAAAAGAAAGCACTATTTGTGGGGAAAAAAGGACATAAATTGTCAGCAATTGTCAGTTAAAGTAAAAGTGTCATATCACAAAAAAAGGCCTGGTCAGGAATGGGGGTAAACCCTTTGGAGGACAAGTGGTTAACTGGAGATTTGTTTTAGTACATAACGTAGTACTACAAAAAAATTTATTGGCCTAATGGAGTCTGAACTTCCTAGACAGTCAATACAAAATACCACTTTTGGCAGAAAGCACATTTTTGGGAAACTTTTCAGTGTAATCCATTCGATAATACATCATTTGTCTTGGCACAAACTGAGAACTTCTGTACTTAAATTACCTAGGCAGATTATTACCAATAATCTATATTAATTGTATAAATTATGTATGAACATATGGCTCAGCTACTTGCATAAAGGTAATTATAGAGTACACATTAGAGAACATCAGTGTGATTTACAGCCTAATCATTTTGTCACTCAAGTCAAAAAGGAGTAACAAACAAATTAAAAAAATGACCTGGTCTTGTATGGTTTATGAAGTGCAAAATCTGCCTGGCTGCAATAAAATAAAGTTTTCTAGTTAGTTGCACTTCTTCTAAGTATAGTTAAATGAAGGTACATTTTTATGGTGCCATTCCATTTAGTGGTAAATAACAATATACCTAAATTGATTGCTTTCACAGCAATTTTCCTCCAGGTTGCCAATTAAATATTATATATTCTTTAAATAATGGGATCTGAGATTTTTATATTAGATTTGATCAGTCTACCATGCCTGAATTTAAATTAAGGCTTAAATATAGAGTATTTTATTTGGGAAAGTACATTTTACAAACAGCTACTGTGATAATAATTGATTAAATTGTAAAACTAATTAGAAGTGATGTTCAGAGGAGAAAGTATTCTAAGTTATCTTTCTGCTTTATCTGCCATGGAAATATCTACTTTCCTCAAACAAGATGGCAAACATATCTGTATATAAAATATTACTATCACTATCAAAGCAAAGTTATAATAGTAGTGTAGAAGCAAGCCAAATTAGTGGAGGCAATTAACAACTGTAATTTGGGATGCTATTATTTGGAACCCAAATTATTTGAGCACAAATGGACTGTTTAGGATCTATGAGCAATACATCAGAATGTAAAATAAATGCAATAATTTATTTATTTGAGCTACAGGGGATTTTGCATGTTAACAGCAACATGAATTTGCACGTTACATGCACAATCAGTAAGTATCAACGTTTTTAAAATTCCCAACCAATTTTGGGTGATCAGAAAGACTATATTTACCACAATATGAAAAAGATAAGGTCCACCTTTTGGGATGATTTGGCAGTTGCTCCCATACTTTTGTGTTCCTTCAGGAAAATAGATAAGGCCTGGATCCTGATAGACACAATTTGGAGACATTTAAAACTTTCTTACGTTTCATTATACACATGGCTCGAGAAGAAGTCGGAAGTGACGAAACGCATCAAAATGTGATGTCAGGACGCCAAACCGAAAGTAGCGGCGTGGCCATTTTGAATATTGGAAATCGTGGACTCTACTACACAAACTGCTGAGGACTGATTAGACGGATTTAGCAATTCTGCATGTAAGAAATCTATTAAATTTTGGTTTATACCTCATACTCCTTTATGGATGGATCTCTTCTTTACCTCTATGAGGAATTGTGGAAAGTAAAAAGGGTACTATCTGCATGGTGGATGGAAGCTGACAAGGAAACATTATACATACCCTGAAATGCTGGTTTTCACTCCAAGAGGGTAATTGCCTTTAATCCCACTAGTGTGAGGTGTCACGAAGTGTTCACTTCACTGTTTCATGTGTTTTCCACGTTGTTAAGAGTGCACACTGAGTGAATATTTTGTTTGCATGATTAATGTGTCACTCACTTTTATTATTAATATTTTGTTTATTTTTTCACTTATTATTATTTATAATACTTGAAGGTAATACACTATTTAAGTTTCATTTTTTTTGAGGTCTAACGGGATCTGGATTGATGAATTGAGTTCGATACACTGAATATTATTTTTGAAGATATTGATATTTTTGGACACAATTATTTTGGACAATTATTTTTGATTTTTGTGAGACACTTGTATTGGATTTATATCACTACTTAACCTCCCTGGCGGTATTTCCGAGTGTAGCTCGGGGTAAAATTTCAGTACCAAGAGCGGTAACCCCGAGCTACACTCGGGCTTACCATGCGGCGTTGCTCAGGGAGTCCCTGCAGCTCTTACCTTGTCCTTCGCTCCCGCGATGTGTCCCCTGCAGGGTCCCCGGCCATCTCCTCCGGCCGATGCCAGCATCCGGCTTCCGTGTTCAGGTCCCTGTGACGTCGGGACGTACGGGCGCCGGAACCGGTGGCAAATTTGACATTTTTAAAAAATGTAATTTTTTTAAAAATGATTATTATATAGTAAAGCATTGCTGTTTCAATGCATTTCACATATATTTTGTCCCTACTGCTTTGTCCTGTGCCCTGCCTGCATTTTGACTGTTCTTTCTGCCTGGAAACTGAGAAATGTCCATGGCGTCCAAAAAGCGTCCCTTTATGTGAAAAGCTGTTTTAGACCAGCTAGAGAACAGCGATAGTAAATCAGAACCACTTGCAGAATTGAGTGATAATGATTCGTGGGGAAATTCGTCATCAGACACTGAAAACGATTTTGCGACTTTGCTCAGCTATGTGCGAATTTGCCACTGTATTTCAAATTTCAGTGTTTTTGGTTTGATTATATTATTGAATTAAATATATTATTATTATTATTATTTTTTATGATTATTTATTAAATTATAATTTATAATTTCATGTTTCAAGTTTTATTATATCCGGAATGTTTACTAGACTCTTGTTTGGACAGATTTCAGTGAGTTATTCCTAAAAAATACAGCCTACAATAAAAAACTACATATTACCATGCAAAATAATAGTACCACTTTCAACACCAAAAGTCGGAAATAATCATACTGCCAGGGAAGTTAAGTGGGTATTATTTATGAGATAGGGGTTTGAGTGTATTTAGAGAAAAGGTTTATGAATATTTTCTTATTGCTGTCATGAAAAATATCCAAAAAACTCAAATTTCGACATAAATGTAGGCCAAAATGTATTCTGCTACATGTTTTTGGTTAAAAAAAAGCTAACAAGTGTATATTGATTGCTTTGTGTGAAAGTTATAGCATCTACATACTATGGTATAAAATATGGAATTTACACAGCTTTTACTTTCTGACTGCCCGTCACTTTTCTTGAGGTGCTACCGTGCTAAAATACCAGGATAGTACAAACACCCCTAAATGACCACTTTTTGGAAAGTAGACACCCTAAGCTGCTGAGAAGCATATTAAGTCCATGGAAGATTTATTTTTTTCCACAAGTTTCTAAAAAAATGACAATTTTTTTTTTTACACAAAGTTGTCATTTAAAATCTATATTTCTCACACAAGCCATGGGTATATGTGGAATTACACCCCAAAATACATTCTGCTACTTCTACTGAGTATGGGGATACAACATGTGTGAGACATTTTGGGAGCCTAGCCACATACAGGAGCCTGAATACCAATGACCACTTTAAAAGCCTGAAGGTGCGCAACTTCCTCATTTCACATCCTCACTACCTATCACAGTTTCAGAGGCCCTGAAATGCCAGGATAGCACCCCCCCCCAAATGATCCCTCTTTTTGGAAAGTAGACACCCCAAGGAATTTAAAAAGAGCCATGGTGAGTATTTTGCAGATCTCATTTCATTTTTTCTCACAAGGTTTTGAAATATATAAAAAGAAAAGAACAAATATGTTTTGTTTTCTTTCTTCATTTTACAAAAACTTGTGGCAACAAAAGAGATCTGCAAAATACTCATCATGCTTCTTATCAAATTCCTTGGGGTGTCTACTTTCCAAAAAGGGGAAATTTGGGGGGGTTTGGTGCTATCCTGGCAATTCAGGGCCTCCAAAACTGTGATAGGTAGTCAGGAAGTGTAATGAGGAAATAAAGCCCTTTAAAAGCCTGAAAGTGCTTATTGGATTTTGGGGTCCTGTACTTGGCTAGACTGCCAAACCATCTCTCAGAGTAATTCCACATATGCCCATGACATGTGTGAGCAATAAATCATTTAAGTGACAATTTTGTGTAAAAAAAAATTTTTTTTTGTCATTTTCCAATAACTTGTGGTAAAAAAAATAACTTCTTCTATTCATTCAACATGACTCTCAGCAAATAGTTTGGGGTGTCTACTTTCCAAAAGGGATCATTTTGGGGGTGGGGACATTTTATGCCCAGCATTAGAAGTTTATACCACACATCATTCACGTTATTAACCACCTGAAAGCAAAGCCTTTTCTGACACTTTTTGTTCACATGAAAAAAATCATAATTTTTTCTAGGAAATTAATTTAAACCCCAAAACATTATATATTTTTGAAAGCAAACACCCTAGTGAATAGAATGGTGGGTGCTGCAATATTGTATGTCACATAGTACTCGTGCAACGTTTTTTCAAACGCAAATTAAAAAAAAAATACACTTTTTTTACTTTTAATGCACAAGAACACAATATATTATCCAATTATTTGGCAAAATATAAAACACGATAAAAGACGATGGTGTGCCAAGTAAACAGATACCAAACATGACATGCTTTAAAACTGCACATGCCCCGTGCAATGATGACAAACTGCATACGTTTTTAATATCCATAGGCAACGCTTTAAAAGCCTTTACAAGCTACCATTTTAGATTTACAGAGGAGGTCTAGTGCTAGAATTACTTCCCTTGATATGATGTTCACGGCGATACCTCACCGCAGGTGTGCACACGCAGGGGGGCGAGGGTGCTTTTTTTTTTTGCACTGTCACTTTAATTTTTTTGATCACTTTTAATGCTATCAGAAGGAATGCAAATATCCCCTAAAACTTCAATGGGCATCGTCAACTCTATGGTCAGCTGGGATTAAAAATCCCATTTCAGTCTTTGAAGATGACACCAAGCTGTACAGTGGAATAACATCCTTACAGGATGTCTCCAACTTACATGCCGACCTCAATGAACTGTTTAATTGGGCAACTATGTGGCAAATGAGGTTTATTTTTGATAAATGTAAGGTTATGCACATGAGGGCTAAGAATATGCATGCATCATACATACTAGGGGGAGTACAACTGGGGGGGGGTCAATGGTGGTGAAGGATCTTGGAGTTATGGTAGATCATAAGCTTAATAATGGCATGCAATGCCAAGCTACGGTTTCTAAAGCGAGCAAAATCCTCTTTTGTATTAAAAAGGTATAGACTCCAGAGAGAGATACTGTATATTATTTTACCCCTGTACAAATCATTAATACCACCTTATCTGGAATATGCAGTTCAATTTTGGGTACCGATTCACAAAAAAAACATTGGGGAACTGGAAAAAGTACAGAGAAGGGCAACCAAACTGATAAGAGGCATGGAGGAGTTCAGCTATGAGGAAAGAAAGATTAGAGGAACTGAATTTATCTTCTCTTGAGAAGAGGAGATTAAGGGGGGATATGATCAACATGTATAAATACATCAGTGGTTCATATAGTGAACTCGGTGTAGAGCTTTCACCTTGAGGTCATCACAGAGGACAAGGGGGCATTCTTTATGTCTGGAGGGAAATAAATTTAATCTCCAAACACGGAAAGAGCTGTGAAAATGTGGAATAGACTCCCTCAAGAGTTGGTTCTGGCCAGCTCAGTGGATTGCTTTTAAAAGGCCTGGATTCTTTCCTAGATACACAGAATATAACTGAATATAACATTTATAGGTAAAGTTGATCCAGAGAGTATCCAATTGCCTCTCGGAGGATCAGGAAGGAATTTTTTGCCCCTGCAGGAGCAAATTGGATCATGCTTTTCTGGGTTTTTTGCCTTCCTCTGGATCAACTGTGAGTGTAGGATTATAACTTTTTTTTTGGTTGAAGTGGATGGACTTTTGTCTTTTTTCAGCCAGACTAACTACGTAACTATTTAACTATGTAATGGCAAGAGTGGGTACCGCTGGAGAGAAAAAATGTATTGGATGTTCATCCATTAGCCAAAACTCAAGCCTGAGGGTCTGAATACAATATAGAGATCAATTTAATAAATTTAGGACCAAAACCAAAGCTTTGGAGAAGTTGCACAAGTATGTCCATTCAACTGAATCAACAGCCTTGGCGGCATCTAAAGAAACCACAACTCTTGTACCAACATGATCGTGGGTAGCTTGCAGATTCATAAACAGCCTCCTGGTATTAAATGCAGTGTTTTTTAGGGGCATAAAGCCTGTCTGATCTGGATGCACTAAGGAGGTAATAGCTGTATTCAGGTGTATCGCCAAAACCTTGGCAAGGTTTAGGGATCAGGACTATAAGTGCCTCACGCATAGAGTCCGGTAAGGTAGAGGTCTGAAAAATGGCTTCATAGAGCCCCAGGAGCTTAGGAACAAAATCTAAGCATAATGTGTATAGAACACGAGAGACAGCCCGTCTGCCCGGAGCCTTAGCAGGTTTAAATTTACTGATAGCCATTTCTATTTCTTCCTTAGTTAGTAGAGCTTCAAGCATGACAACCTGTTCTGCTGACAATTTTGGAAATGAGGTGGAAGTAACTCTAGAGGTACACACATCACGGAAGTAATTAGCGAATTCCGCTGCAACAAGCAGCAAGTCAGACACAAATACCCCCGTGGTGGTTTTCAAGGTGATCACAACAGGGGGTCTGGAGCCCATATGAGCCAAATATGCTAATAATTTACTGTGGCGTTGAACTTTTCAAAAATGTGTTGACACGTAAAAAAGACGTTTTTTTTTGGCCTTTTCATAGGTTAATTTTTTTACTAATCTAGTGTGCAGTTTCAAATTGGTTAGCTGATCAGGCATGGGATCCAGGAGATACTGATCTTGGACACTAACAAGGTGTGAATTATCCTGTTGAAATACTAATTTGGAGGTATGTTTAGTTCTAGATATATGCATACTAAGGATAAAACAGACATGTTTTTTTAATGATTCCCATACCATTAGAGGGGGTGCGGTGTTGTAGTTTATCATGAAAAAATGGGTCCATTCCTCACCAAGGGTATCAGCATCAGAAATGGCTGTAAGCCAAAAGCAGTTTAATCACCATGTTGGGTCAGGTGGATTAATGTATGCCCGTTGAGTAACCCAGTAGGGGACATGGTCTGACAATAATCTGAGACAAAAACCTGTCTTTAAGAGTCTGGGACCTAAAATTGTGGATAGAGTGATAAAGTCAATCCTGGAAAAGGTGGAATGTGCGGCAGAAAAACAGGAGTATTCCCTACATTGGGGACAGAGATGCCTCCAGGTATCAATGAGACCAACATCAGTTAATAGGCAACTGAACCGCATTTCCCCTGTGTTTGAAGGAGGGAATGTTGGTTGATTAAATTGGTTCAGCGAAGGATTGAGGACTGTGTTAAAGTCCACCATCCAAATCGCAGGAATTGAGGCATACTGGGGCATAAAACTAAAACCATCGCTGAGTACAGCGGAATTGTAAGGGGGAGGAACATACCGGGCTAACAATAGCAGGGGATTGCCCAAGATACACACATGTAAAAAAAAAATATCCTCAGGGTCCAACACCACATTCAATGGCTCGAGGTGCACTGATTTCGCAATCAGTGTAGAGACTCCGCTAGAGTAGCTAGTGTGGGTAGCATGGAATGTTCATCCTATCCAGGTTCTCTGCAGGGCTTTCTGCATGTGACCATCTATGTGGGTTTCAACTAGGGCCGTTATATCAACCCTTTGTTTTTTAAGGTAAGTAACACCACAGTTTGTTGCAATTTATCACGGAGACCATGTACATTTCAAGTGAGACATTTTAGTTGGGCCATAAAGATGCCATAGAAATATTCAGAAGCCAGTGTATTCATGCTGGGACCCGCAAAAGTGACCTAGGCATGCGATGAAGTACAGCGATGTTACAGGGGGTATCCCCGCCTCTACAGTACAGACATACATAGAATAACAGATCACAAATATCTCATACATTGTCACCAAAGTGTAAAGAACCCTATCCCTCTCAGCTCTGCACACACCAACTTGCGCGAGCATTAGTCCCAAACAGTGCACCACAAATCTGGTTGTGCAAACTTGAAAAAACAACTAGGAAGATGAATAATCTCTAAAAAGAGAGACAAGATGGTAGGTACAGGAGCCAGCGAGCTAGCATACCATAGGGAAGGAAGCACTGGCCATGTGTTTCTGCTGAAGGACATCTGGAAGGAGCATGCAGCATCAAATATAGTGCAAAGTTGGTCCAGAAGAGCCTCTCTAGATTAGATAAGGGGGGGTATGAGAGGGTAGTTCCATGCATGTGGATGACAGAAGATGACATAGGTCATGTATACACATATGGCACTCAATATAGAAGAAATGAAGAGACACCCACAATGGTCAGGATAGGTTGAGCGGCAAGATGCCCCGTACTGGCCATGTACTTTTCTTCCAGAAACAGTAATTGAATACATAACAAACAAAAAGTGAGAAAAAATTAAATGTGGGCTGAAAGTCAGGTTCAGGAAGAGTCTAGCCAATCCAGCCACACATTGGCAGCCTCCGGTTCCTCAAAAAGGTTTACACGGTCTTCTCCAACCACGTGGAGACGTACGGGGTACAGCATGGCATACTTAAGATGGCAGACTCTAAGGCATTGTTTAACTGTTAGAAATCTATTGCGGCGACGTATCTCCGCAGAGAACTTTGGAAAAACAGCAATTTTCGTGTTGTCAAAAGGTATATTACCTTTCTCCCTAGAGAGGCGTAATATAGCATCCCAATCTTTGGAATTAAGAAATTTAGCAATAAAGGCCCATGGCGGGGCTCCTTGAGAGGGTGGTTTAGACACCATGGAGTGGGAACGCTCCACTACAAACATAGTAGAGAAAGTTAAAGAAGGCTTTCCAGGAATCCCGGTGGGTTGGTTCTCTCTGCGCCCTCAGGAAGGCTGATTAAATGGAGGCTATTGCACCTCATCCTATTTTTGAGGTCGTCCTGCTTCTGTTGCAATTGGGAGAGAAGATGGCGTGTCTGTTCAGAGAAGTCCGACAGCGGGAGGGAGGGCATCCTCCACTCGATTCACCCTGTCCTCAGCTTCAGATACGTGGGCCTGGAGCTTCTAGAGATCGTGCCAAATAAGGGAAATATCCACCTTAACTTCTTCTATTTTGGATATAAGTGATGTTTGGGCCGAGATAGCTTCCAATACCCTAGCTGTCTCTGCTGATGAGGATTCCTGATCAGTAGAGGAGGAGCTGCCATCTTCCCCTGGCACATCCCGCTCTTTATGTCTGTCTTGTCCAGTTTAGCACTGGCATCCGCTGTTTTTCGAGGGGGAGACATGATTAGTTCTATTAGTCTAACCCAGGTCAGAGAAGCTGCTGTGTGATGCGCAGGATAGTTGAAAGGATAAATCTTTGGCAGAGACCTTACTTGAGACCTACTCCATGTCGCTAGGCCATGCCCTCCCTCCACAAGCTCTTTACCATATGTTTTATCTTTTAGCAACCTCTCAGTGTAAGTAACCTTTCTTACTTTTACTCCTCCAACAATAAACACATTCAGCATGAAGGTTTCTCTTCTGTCTTTCATCTTTATTTTTAACTCAATTTCTGGTTTTGAAAAATCTTTTACATGATATTTACCAAAATGGAACTTGAGATTTAGTTATGGCAACAGAAAGCTTTCAGGTTTACAATGTAGGATAACGTTTTCCTTATTTTGTTCCATTGCTCAAGATTCATGACTGAGCTCAGCAAGAGAGCTGTAGGGAAAGGGGCTACAAAGGATATTGGAAGAAGCCAGGAAGCTCTTTAAAGTTTAAGAAAATGAAAACATCCTTCCTTTCCCTTGTTTGGTAGTCTGTACAGTTGAAAAATAGCATTGAAATCCACTGCAATTTATAAGGGAAGATGAGCAAATATTTGTATATTCCAATTTCATTTTGTGAACATTTGCTTCATTACCATCTAGGTTTAAAATATATCTAAATCCCTTTTTTTGTTTTGAATATAGAAGGAAAAATTAAAACCTCTGTCAGCTTTTTTTGTTTTTTTTTTTTTTGTCTTATTTTGGGGTGATTTTCCTTAACCTCTAGTCTTGAAACAGATAATAAGAGTAGATCCTGCCAAAATAAGGAAAATACTCCCTTAGACAGTTATCACTGTGACATACTGTATGTCCCCATGGGATGATTTCCCCTCTATTCTTGTTCCAGTGACAACTGCAATTTTGGCTCTCTCATTACTTTCTACCTTATTGACAATGGTCTTCATAACAATGACAGAGATTCTAGTGCTTCCTTACTTCATCCAAAATTAGAAAAATAGCTTTAAGTAGACTTTAAATTTTCTAGCAATCCAATCTGCCAAGCCAGTCCATGAGGCATGTAGGTTTTCATTGGTCAGTTCGCTTCAAAAATTCTTTATTCTGGCTTCCAATTGGTCTAGTACTTTTTGCATCACTAATTCAGCATCACATAATTCAGCAGCATACTTGTTCCAGTTAATTAAAAGTCTGTGCCAAAGTGTCAGGTAATTTTAAGAAAGAGGTTCAGAAATGCTGTTTTTCCTCTCAGGTATACAATGTGTAAAAAATGTGTAACTAAAACGTGTTATCAAAATATTTCCAGTATTTCTGTGGTGTTAATTGACAATGAGGCATTTAAAAAAAAAAAGTTTCCCTGAATACACTGAGGTCTTAGCGTGCAGTGAGTTGTGTGCATGACCAGCAGTCAAAATCACATTATGGCGATTCTAGTGAATTTTTTATTTTTATACACACAGAGACTGCTTTTGGCCATAAAAATAAATGGCAGCCAGCAAAATCTGAAAACTACACAACCCTAGAAGCACACAGCCACCCAAGTTGATCGATTGAGCTGGATTTTACATGCGAATATCGCTTGTGGCTGTCATGGCTGCTAGCAATAATCACTGTCTTCTCCCATGGGGAGAACACAATGACTCGGCAGGAGTGATTTCCCTGTCTACACTGACTTTGTTGATGGGGGAATCATAGGATTTTCTTTACTTTCTTTATTTTCTGTCCTGTTTGCACCATATGTGGCCCTATGTGAAATGGGTGTAGTTTGGTCTTGAAAAGGGCCTCTGTACTGTAAAAATGTCAAGTTATAGAATGCATATTCTAATTCTAAAATTGCCCAATCACAAACTAAATATCAGGCTTAGAAAATAATGTAATACCATACTTCCTAATAGCTTTCACCCATTCAGTTCATGCATTAGATGAGAGATTCATAAAACAATGCAAGTACCATTGTAAACAATCCATATTCTTACTTTCTGAATTGAAACAATTCCTTCTTGAGTATCTTTATCCACAGATATGTTGAAGACACTTTGGCCATCACCATCGACAATCTTATATTCCATTTCAGCATTTAGTCCCACATCAGCATCTGCTGCTTTTATTTTGGCTACTGTTGAGCCAATAGGTAATGATTCAGGAACATAATACTGATCAGACTCTAAAGAAAGAAGAAATTCAAATGATGAATATAAAACAATATTTTGCCTTGCATTGGGTTGGGAAGAGTTAAAATCCCTGCCATAGTGCCCCCTCTTTATTTGCCCTGGAGACCAGTGTCACTAGGACATAAAGGTGAAATCTAATTAATTTAGAAACAGCTGGCACAATATCCTAAACATTTGGTTAAAGGAAAAGTGAAGCATAATTTTGATTTCAGGAAATGTAAGCCCTTTTATTGCCCATTCAGCTGACTTTAAACTGTTTTTCAAATCAACCTAACAGATAGAGCATGGCTGGTGCATGTGAGGTGGCAAGTTAACCACTGAGTTGTATTTCACTAGTGGCTCTGGATTAGTAAACATGCAGTCCTATATAACACATTACACCTAATCTCCCACACACATTCTGGAGAACTGTGCACTGCAAGTGAAAAGGATCCAGATCTCAGTAGCTAATGGACTTCTTTACACCATCGGGGCAGAAGCTTGGACTAATTTGTGGTGGTGCTTACTTCCTTGCTTTATCTAGCTACTGCTCCACAGGTGGGCACACCACACACCACCCCAGAGCATCTAGCAACCATGGGATTTCTTCCTTGTCATCATCTCCTGAACCCTCCACTCCATCTACAGACATTACAGCAAAAGCAAAGCCCCACATGATGATTAGAGTGGGCATATTGTGACAAGCTCACACAGTCTCAAGTTGACACAAGGGAGTTAAATGATTAAATCAATTCCTTTCCAACACTAAACCACTCAGTACTAGACACTACTTTAAAATACATTTTGATGTCTTTAACCACATGCCTACTGGACACTGTCACCCCCTTCCTGCCCAGGCTAGTTCTCAGCTTTCAGCGCTGTCACACTTTGAATGAAAATTGCGTGATCATGCAACACTGTACTCATGAAATTTTTATCATGTTTTTGAGACTGATAGAGCTTTCTTTTGGAGGTATTTAATCACCTCTGGGTTATTTATTTTTTGCTAAACAAACCAAAAATAACTGAAAATTTAAAAAAAATAGGTTTTTCTTAGTTTCTGTTATAAAATGTTGTAAATAAGTGATTTTTCTCCTTCACTGATGTGCGCTAATGAGACTGCAGTTATGGGCACTGATAGGCTGCACTGATGGGCACAGATGAGGAGGCACTGATGGTCATTCACAGGCATCACTGATGGGCACTGAAAGGCAGCACTCATATATGGCACTGATAGGTGGCACTGATAGGCAGCACTGACTGGCACTGATAGGCAGCACTGACTGGAACTGTTAGGCAGCACTGACGGGCACTGATAGGTGATACTGACGAGCACTGACAGGCGGCACTGACGGGCACTGATAGGTGGTACTGATTGGCAGCACTGATAGTCAGCACTGACTGGCACTGGTAGGTGGCACTGACTGGCACTGATAGGTGGCACTGAAAGGCAGCTCAGATGTGCACTGATATTTAGGATTGAAGTGCACTGTTAGACACTGATATGTGGCATTGATGTGGAACTGATGGACACTGGCAGGTGGCATTGATGGGCCCTGACAGGTGGCATTGATGGACACTGACAGGTGGCACTGATGGGGCTACACTGATCATCAGGGCACTGAACATCAGTGCCCTGATGATCAGTGGAGATGTCCCTTCCGAGGAATGCCGATTACCGGCTCTCCTCTTCTCACGAGCTGTCAGCGTGACAGCTTGTGAGGAGATGACTGCCGATAACCAGCATTTCCTTATTTACATGCAGTCAGCTGTGATTGGACACAGCTGATCACATGACAGAGCCGACATCATCGGCTCTTTTGGTGATCAGTAATTCTCTGTGTCCCAGGGACACAGCGCACCACCGATCACAAGGCTGCGCACCCCCGGGGCGTGCACGTGCAGTTAGAGTGGAAGGACATCATATGCTGTCCTCCCAGAATGAGAGAACCGCCTCCTGTCCGTCATTTCCTTATATGGTGGGTGGGAGTCGATTAAAGTGCTTTCTCAATACAAATATGATCTTTTTAATGTCACAATTTATGTCAGAGGTGCTAGAGGTGGGGGACAGTGTTAGTTACATTCTCTTGGCCTCTAGTTTATGCTCTTTATTGGTTCTCCTCTTACCTATCTTAGCTCACCTTTAGTGCCACCTCCAATTCTGTCTCCTCCTAATATTTCCTATTTCTGCAGGTGTTCCCAAGTCTCTGCCCTCACGTCACGTCCCTTTTTTTCTCTTCGTACACCTTCTACTTGGGTCAGTTCATAACCTCACATAGTTTCCAATACCATCTCTATGCAGACAACATCCAAATCTCTCTCTCTACTCCTCAGCTCACTCCTTCTGTTTCCTCACACATCACTAATTTACTCACTGATAGTATCTTCACTGATTTCCACTAGCCCAACATAAAAAAAATCAAACTATTAACAATAACAACTCACAAACCCATCCACAACTCTGCTCTAAGCTACATCTCAGTTACTTCAAAGACCACCTGCTCTCTACCTCCCTCATCACCTCCTTACTTGCCCACCTCCAAGACTTCTTCAGAGCCTCCCCTTTCCTCCTAAAACCACTACCCAGTCAGTATGGCCATTCCCTGCCATTAGGTGATTCTAAGATCCTAAGAAGAGGAAAATATCCTTTCTCCGTATCTACACCACATTTTTAACAATGTTGTGACCTCTTCTTCTTTCATTCTGGAAATGCTTAAGGTTGTGTTCAACCTCTATCATTCTTAAACACAGATATCAAATTGTAGCAAACAATACCTGCTACTAATCTTCTAGAATTAGTCCCTCAGTTAATACATCCTGTTAAACTGATTTCACAAAAGATAGACAAACCCCTAATGATACAAGAAAGATCCTTAACTTACTTAATTATGCTGAGACCCACAAAACTCTTTCTCTGCCCCCACTTTGAATGCGGGGGAGGCATTTGATAGAATGCATTGGGGTTAACTTTCTCAAGTACTTCAAAATTTCACCTTCTCAAGCACTCTTAGCATGCATTAGCCATCATTGCCAGGTTTACATGTATAAAATTCTGTCTAAACCAATTTAAATTGCTAAAGCTGCTTGTCAAATGTGCTTGTTTTCTCTTAATAGTTGTCTTTTTAATGGAACCCCTTGTGCTACCATCAAAACTAATCCTCAAATTTGAATCTTCACCTACAACCACAGGTCACATAAGGTCAACCTCTTTGCAATTGATGTGTTGCTTATGCTTACCGACGCAGAAGAAATTAATTCTATATTTACTACTACTATCTCAAATAATAAGATACAACATTTTATATAGTAAACCTGGGGATAGATCATATGACCCAGCATTCCTTTTGAATCTTATTCCCCAAAACACAGGGGCAACGATTACATTTTTTACTTAGGAATCACCCTCACTGTCTCTAAATGATTGCATTACACCTCCTATCTCCAGATAGACTTAGCACAATTAGTTTCAATTCTCCAGGTCTGGCTGATTAGCAATCTTCAGAATGCTAATTCTCCTTCAGATTTTAATTTCCACAATCTCCCCATCCCAATCTGTCCTTCCTGATTTGCTAATCTTAATTCTATAATTTAATCTTATACTTTTATACCACATTCCTCCACCCAAATATGGCATGTGAATGGTAGTATGCTGGTTTGAAGACTTACACATAGACTCTGGTGTAAACTATTATCAGGTTTATTTGTTGAATATGAAGCATTAGTCCAGAAATATCTTCATTATTTAAGACTGACCCATATCTTTCAGCAAACAAAATCTATTGACTTTACAATCTACCAATTTCTATCTCATGTAAGTCACAAGCTAAAGGAATTACAATATTTTACAATCTCCTAAATGATAAATGAGCCTTTACTAAATCCATTCCTCTCCCTAAGTGGGAAAGAGATCTCTTCTTACACTTACTCACAATGGCTTAAAGTTCCCATCTACACTACCTCCTATTGTGTCAATATTTGGGAACCCTTTCAAAAAATAACTTTATGATGGTATTTAATGCAATACTGTTTGGCCAAGTTGTCTACATTCTACTCACCCTTGTATTTGAGGGACTGTGGCCAGGTGCGTAATCTATTCTACACCTTCTGATCCTGAAAAAATACTGTAAGCTACTGGAAATATATCTCCCAAATTATTTCTGAAGTAATCAAAATCTTCAGATCACCTTCCCATCCTTATTGAATTTAGGAAAAGATAACACTGCTCCTTGCTTCCAAACTACAGTTACTTATATTTTATTAACAGTCAGATCGATTATTGGCAGATATTGGAAAAACATCACTACCCTCGATGTCTCTGAAGTTTTTAGGATTGCACAGCTTCCATTTTAACTATAATAGTCTCCTAGCCCTCAGGAATGACAACACTTGAAATCCTTGGTCCCTGTAGTCTAAGTGCACTTTGGTTTCATAGTGCTACTTCACTATATCTGACTCTTTTTATTTTTTTTTCCATTAGAACGTTAACACTTAAAATTGCTGTATTGTTAAGGTGAGTGCGACTCAATCGTATGTAGCAGTTTAAAAAAAAAAAAAAAAAAGCATTCGGGGAATTGTCAATTCCTGCATCTTCCATAATTTTTCTTCTTTCTAAATATTTTTTTTTTCTGCTGTACTTTGCCTTGGTACGTATTATCAGAGTAGTGCCCAGATATTTATGATATTTACAATCTCTTGTCTGTTAGCCTTAAAAGAGTCCAAACTAATTCTGTTTCAATAGAGTTCAAGAGGGTTTTGATTTATCATCTGAATTTCAGCTGTTTGGTGAACCTCCCTGTCTGATCTGATCCTGGGATGTTCATTTAATTAATAGGTTTAAGCATGAGGAAACAACACTGTGATAGTAGTAGATGACTCCAGACATAGTAAATGAGAACAAGTAAACCCATGTATTATGGTACTTTTACATCATATTTTCTATACATATTTTATTAGTATATACTACAGTATATGCAAGATTAACTTCATGTAGTTGGTAAGATGAAATAAATCAAGCTGTAAATGTTACAGAATTTAGATTCTTTTGCACCAGAATGTCAGGACTACAAGATTTGGTGAGGAACTTGTTTGCTTGGTGAAGAGGGTTTTTATGCTAGTCAAGGTGAATATACAGAAAAATAAGGGTTAATGCATCATTTAAGGGTTAAATTGGTGCTATGTCCATTTTTGGGGAGTTAGTTTAAGTGTCAAGCTAAGTGTTTTGTTGGAATTTAAGGGTGCACTCACAGGGGCAATTAGCAGAATTCTAGAAGCAAGAATCAGTAAATTCCTGCAAACGAAATGGCAGGTATGTGTGTGAAGCTGTGGCTACTCAGTCCATACAATGCAATGACAGGCTGACAGCAGCCCCAGCTATCCATGACTCCTTGCACAGCCAGCAAATAACTGTTGGCTGTGAGAGTACATTGTCTCAGTTAGGGACAGATGATCATGGCTGGATTTGGATTGTCTGTGTCCAGTCACAATTGCGACAGGTAATCATTGGATGTGCAAACAGTAATGGATAGCTACATCCACCTTCAGCCTGTCATTGTATTTTTTGGATTGAGTAGTCACAGCTCTTCACACACACCTGTCATTCCATTCATAGGAAACCACTTATTCTTGCCAATGTTTTTGAACTATTTAAAAAATTCATATACAGTTGTGTTCAAAAAAGTTAATAAACCTCAAAATCCTTCTAATAGCTTTTATTTCCATACACACAAATGCATTGGGAACACTAAACATTCTATTCCAAATCAAAACATGAAGAAAAATATATATCAAATTTGTGTTGTTCCTCTAAAAAAATTGAAGAAAAGTGAATATTAGACTGTTAAAAAAAAAATAGCAGTGTTTGTATTCTTTACAAACTCAAACATTCACTATATAAACTGAAAAATGTTTGAAGATTTTGCTTTCCTTTGAATCACTTAATTAATATTTAGTTGTATAACCACTGTTTCTGAGAACTGCTGTACATCTGTGTTGCATGGAGTCAACCAACTTCTGGCACCTGTGAACAGGTATTCCAGCCCAGGATGATTGGACTACATTCCACAGTTCTTCTCTATTTCTTGGTTTTGCCTCAGAAACTGCATTTTTGATGTCACCCCACAAGTTTTCTATTGGATTAAGATCCGGGGATTGGGCTGGCCACTCCATAACGTCAATCTTGTTGGTCTGGAACGAAGATGTTGTACATTTCCTGGTGTGTTTGGGGTCATTGTCTTGTTGGAACACCCATTTCAAGGGCATTTCCTCTTCAGCATAA